AAAAAAAAACAACAACAACAAAAAAACAACAACAACAACAACAAAACAACCAAACAACAACAAACAAACAAACAAACAAAACAAACCCAACAACAACAACAAAACAAAAACAAAAACAAAAACAAAAACAGAAACCCACTACAAAAGACAGATTTTGAGAATGTGAAGGGGAGAGCAGTGCTTTGTAAACAGAATGGTCTCCACGAGATCAGCTCACTGTCGTGTGATCGATAGTCTTGACGGTTGAGAGGGGACCATGACGAGACAAACTCCTAACTTCAAATAAAAAAGTAGCCTAATACGGGGTGCCCACTACGACAGGATCTGGCCGATCGCCCGACTCGATCGCCTGAAACTGAAAACAAACACGTTTGTTTTTGAGGCGATCGATCGGGTCGGGCGATCTGTCCGATCGGCCGATCCTAGCCGTAGTGGGCACCCCGTATTTAACTTTAATGAATTTATATGTCTTCTAAACTAAGATTTTATTAAATGCAAGAGCGCCTTTATTCTTAGGCCGACCCCATAACTCATTCATCGGGCCTGGCAGTGAAGTGGTTAATTAATTAGTTTAGTTTTAGTAGAGGTTTTACTGCGCTCGCAACTGTATGTCATATGAGCGCCAAGGGTGGATGTCTACAGAGAGTCCTTTCAGGGAATCAGGCTTACTCTGCTCACCCCGCTAGCTTCAACAACCCAAAGTCTGGTACGACTATCAAGACACTCAGGAAATAGCAGGTCACATGAGTGTGACAAAATACAAAAGAAGTTGAGGAAAAATGACGATAGTAAGGACTAAGAAAGAAAAAGCAGCAGTTCCCTGTTGCAGTTCAGGCACAGTTATGAGCATGACATTGATGAATTAGCAGATTTTCAATTCTACTGTACATTGGAACATGTTAATGTCCCCCTTTGGGAATGGCTTAGAGACACTTCAGTGAGTAGCACCGCCCCGAGAGTGAAGTGGTTTATGCTGACATTGTTCGTGCTCATACTGTTGCTGCTTTTAAATACCGCTGCCACTGTTGTTGGACCTCCTTAAAGAAGAAGAAGAAGAAGAAGAAGAAGAAGAAGAAGAAGAAGAAGAAGAAGAAGAAGAAGAAGAAGAAGAAGAAGAAGAAGAAGAAGAAGAAGAAGAGG